GCAACTTCTACAGCTGCATCATTGAGAGCATCTTGACCAGCTGCATCACTGTCTGGTACGGCAGCACTACTGCTATGGACCGCAAGCGCCTACAGAGAGTGGTAAAGACTGCGGAGAAGATCACCAGGACTCCACTGCCCTCTCTGCAGACCATTTATCACTGTAGGGTGCGTAGGAAAGCTGCCTCTATCCTCAAAGATCCCACTCACCCCCAGCATGGACTGTTCGCCTCCCTACCTTCTGGCCGGAGGTTCAGAAGTGTGAAATTCAGGACCACTAGACTGAAAAACTCTTTCTTTCCCTCTGCCATCAGACTCCTAAACAGCTGAGGAATTTATTACCAGGAAATACATCATGTACTGTTTGATGGGGGGCTGGCACAGTAGAGGCCAAGGACTGGGTAGACTCAAATCTGTTAAAAAACAGATTCAGTTCATTTGCCCAGGCCTTGTTCCCCGTGACCTGGTGACCATCACCACTTTTACTATGACCTGAGATGTGTTTTAGGCCTCTCCACTCCTCACGCACGTTGTTATTTTCCATGCTCTGCTCCAGCTTCTTCCTGTAGCTAGCCTTGCACCTCTGGATCATGTACTTTAGTTCCCGCTGCACTCTGCTCACCTCCTCCTTGTCCCGTGAGAGGAAAGCCCTCTTCTTCTCATTTAGCAGTACTTTTAACTCGGGGCTCACCCATGGCTTGTTATTGGGAAAACACCATACTCTTCTGGATGGCACCATATTTTCCACACAGAAGTTTATGTAATCCAAAACACAGTGTGTGAGGCCGTCTATGTCCTCTCCATGAGGACTACAGCGGATGTCCCAGTCTGTGGTGTTAAAACAGTCTCTCAGCTGCTCACTGGCACTTTCATACAGTAGGTCCAGAGTTTTATTGTCCCTCGTGTGTCAATTCACATAGTGTTTGAAGTTAGGGAGGGTGGTAGAGAAGGGGAGGGAGGCATGGTTAAAGTCCCCTGAGATGAGGATTAAAGCATGTGGGTGTTGTGTCTGCAGCTGAGACACGGTGCTCTGCACGCTCGCATGCCGCAGTAGCATCGGCGGAGGGATTTATGTACACCGTCACCACGATTACATGAGAGTACTCCCTGGGAATATAGTATGGCCGTGCACTGACAGCTAATAGTTCAATGTCTCTGCTACAGAATTTTTCTTTAACAGTAACATGTCCGGGATTGCACCATCTGTTATTTATGTACACAGCTAACCCCCCCCCTTCTTTCCGCCCTCTGCTGCGCTTCGATCTGCACTAGTGTGAATCCATGTAGGGAGACCACAGAATCAGAAATGTCCTTGTTCATCCAGGTCTCGGTGAAACACATCATGCTACTCTCCCTGTACACCTTTTCCACTCTTGTTAGCGCTGTTAGCTCGTCCATCTTGTTGGAGAGGGACCGCACGTTTCCCATAACGATAGATGGTAGACACTTTTTGTACTTCCGTTTCCTTGCTTTACTCCAGCCCTACAGCCTCGCATTTTGCGTCGTGTCTCCATGGGAATCTCCAGCTTCTCGAGGGCGAGCTGCTGGTCTCGAGTGTGAACAATGGGGCCACTGCTCCCGGAGTCCCCAACTCGGGAGCTCGCGAAAAAAAGTATAAAACATAATGTAAACGCAATAAAAAGTTGTACTCCTGGTAGCACTGCTCCAGAGGCCTACAGAAGAAGTATAACACAAAGCAAACACGGAAAGCACAAAAGAGGACAGAGCTGCTGGAATTCGCTGCCAATCCGTGCGGCGCCGGAAGTCGTCAATCTATCTGACATACTAACGCAATATAGGATGGTGCTTGGTGTGAGTGGCTGATCGACGCTAAAGTGGACCATTCAAACATTGGATGAAAAGAATTTAAGAGGTACTTGGATTTTAGCATCTGCTCACAAGCATGCACAGTAAAGTTGTCAAGAAGAAAAGCACATGTATAAAGCCCCCATCTTGGAATTATACCAATGTAAGTATTTGGCAACATGTCAATCAGGTGACTCCATATATGACCCTGCAAATACATGTGTGTGTGCATGTGCTCACCTCATAGTGCTAAAAGCCAAGAACAACGTGTCAATCAGGTGACTCCATATATGATCCTGCAAATACATGTGTGTGTGCATGAGCTCACCTCATAGTGCTAAAAGCCAAGAGGCCATAGAACAGTGTATGCAACAGATTATAAGTCACATCTGGACGAAAAGCCTCCATTCGCACCTCTCCAGCTCCTTTCCTCTCCTCAGCTGAGCTTCCTTTAGGCCTGCCGAGCAACAAAAAAAGCAGCAAGACAAAAGACAACATCAATACATAAAACATTACAGCCAGATGCTTGAGAAGAGAGGCAGAAGGGTAGGTGGGTGGAACTGATATTATTCAGATTTCATTAGCTGTTTGCACACAAGCAGACACACGGTGATGCACCCCCACAACCGTTTCTGTCTGCAGGAGTCAGCACACAGACAAACAGATGAAAGCTCGAGGAAAGTGATGTCACTACCACAATTTGACCTCCCACACCGAATTAGACGGACGCTGTCCTCCATTTGAATACAAATCCAATCGAACTCTTCCTTCTATGTGAGGTGAGGTAAACTGGATTACATTAATTTCTGAAGTGGCAAATAGGCCTTTGTTCTATAAGGTTAGTATTCTACCCTTCAACAGCAGAGCACAAGTTGAAATGCTAATGTGATTAGTTCAATGCGGTTCATCTTGCACCACAGGCAAATGAAGCTTGGAGAAGCAGCAGACAGAATGAATGTTGTGTTTTCCAAAGCATGAAGCAACAGTACCATTACTGCTCTGCAGTGATGTGAGACGGAGACACGGGGACAGTGCCTACCACTGTGACTGGGTCTCTGCCTCATGATAGCTATACAGGTGTCTATTTCTAAACTTCCCTTGCTCTCTGCCAGTGCTGACCCTCTCCCTTCATTTAGACTTCACTGCCTCTTTTGAACAGTTTCCAATAAGGATGCACACTCAGCTGTTTATCACTGGCAAATTTGAGGATTAAATACCAACTACAGTTTGACACAAAGTGCTAATCTGAGAGATCATTTTGTTGCACAATTAAATGTACTGTATAAAGTGCAAAGTGTATTGTATAAACATATGATTTAGAATTTTGTGTAGATCATAGATTGTGTTCAAAAGTGTGACTATGCTTCATATTTAGTTTTTTTGTTATAAACAGATTTTTAAATAGCCCTTCTGGTCACTGTATAATTATATTAAAGGGAATGATTAAGAAGTACTTAGACAACTATTTCAGTCCTACAATATGTTAAACCTACATTAGCTGATTTTTGAAACGAGCAGTAAATGCAACACTTATGTTGACATACAGTTGCTTATTTACACATACAGCAGACACAGAGCAACATCAGTATTTATCTGTCCATCTCATTAATGCAAGCTTGATGTTCACACTCCATTTAGCTCTGCTTAGCTTTATACCAAGTTCTTAGGGAATTCTCTTGCTCTTTATCTGCTAAATGTGCCACTGTTTTCACTATCTAGTCACACTCTCTGTCCACAGTTTGGTGCTGGGCAGGTAGCACACAGTGTTGAAGTAACAGAGCTATTTATTTTACTCAGCATAACTGTCTGGTGCATATAGAAACAATGCTGATGGCACTGAAACAGTGACGGGACTCAAAGGCACATAGAAGCACCACAGAAGTGAGCTCCTCTCCAGCTGTGGTGCGTAAAGCCTAATAAACTAATCTTCCTGGTCTGCTGTTACTATCAGTCAATTTACTGGATGACAGACCACTTATATAAGAAGCCAAACACATAAGTGAACAGCGACTATATAAAAGCTGGCCTGAAGATTGTGCAACAAAACAAAGGTGACCAAAGAAATCAGTGCCTTTGTTTTTGATGGGCGTGTGAATGCCCACACCCACAAACTTCAGTAGTCAACATTAACACAATGGATGTAAGAGAAAGGAACAATGTGGAAATTATATTTCAACATTACAGGTATATTACTATATACTTGCTCCAACACAGAGTTGCCAACTGCATCTTCCCCTTCCATTGCTCCCTCCCTTACCTCCTGTTTGGCCATCACCTACCTCAGGTTCCGCAGTGCGGCCACTGCCAGCATGCCGCTGAGGAGCAGCAGTGTGAGGACATAGGGGTACAGCAGCAGGCTACCAGCCAGTCGTTCCAGTGTGTCGAGCGGCAGCAGGCCGAAGGCCTCCTCACACAAATACAGATTGGCATCAAAATCCCTGCAGGAAGGGAGGTGAATGGATGGGGAGAGAGAGAGGGAGGCAGTGGAGGTAGAATGAAAGAAAAGGAAGGACAGACAGGTTATCAGGTTGACAGAAAAAAGACACAAATGCTAATAATTGCATGAATATACCGTATAAAATTAGTTTTTGTGTGTGCGTGTGTGTGAAATACATTGGCAATAATGCTTCTGATACACAGCCCTGCTGATAAGGGACTGCACTGAGAATTGAGATATCACAAAACAGTGCAAACCTCAAGGGATAAAAAAGAAACCGTTGGAGGGAAGAAATAGTGTAAGTGTCAGCAAGTGAGAAACAGAAACCGACGAAGAGGCAGAGACAGAGTGTAGACTATGTGTTGCATTTTCCACAGCCTCCTGAAAAATTGAAGGGATAGCCGTGTGGCACTGGGCTGTGAGCTGTGCTATCTGCCACACCACAGCAGCTATCTAGTGGCTGGGCTAATCGATGGGAGGCCTGCTGGCGTAACCCCGCCATCTATTATTCACACACACCAACACGCCAGCTGCTACAACACTGGTGATTAGTGAATAATATAGTCAAGCTGGATCAAGTCAAGACGTGTGCGCACTGTGCAAACCTTGTGTATGCACTAATGTGTGACAGCATGTCCTTGAGTTCCTTAAGTCAAAATCTGGTCTTAAAAGAGCGGTATGTGACTGTGCTCAAGAACAAGAGCACATGACTGTGTTTGTGTGTGTCTCTGAGTGTGTGTTCATACCTTGTTGGCCCCAGGGCAAACTTTGACTTGATGAATTTAAAGATGTGTTCATCTGATCTGAGCTGAAGCGCTTTCTGTAAACATAAACACACAAACGCAGATAAGGTCATCTTGCCAGGGGCAAAGATCAGCATGCTGAGATGTATAAATAAGTAAATAAACCAAGCTGAGAACATGTGGTGAGCTCACATCATGCCTATGAGTTTTAAATATATACAAAACTGAGGAGGTGGAGAGGAGGGCTGCAGTCGAAAGCAGTGGGAACACCAGAGCAAGGAGGGGAGGGGAGGGGAGGGGAGGGAGAGAGATCAGAGGTACAGAGAGAACAAAAACAGAAATTAAAAGAGCATAGCAGGCAACTAAGGAGAAAAGAGGATGGAGGGGCTGGAGAGAGGAAAGGAGAGCAAGAGTGAAAAGAAAACATACAAGGGGACAAGAGAAGGAAAGGAAGGAAAGGAAGCAAAGAATAAGCAAATGAGGTAAGAGGATTGACACAGGGAGGAGGAAATGAGAAAGGAAAGGCAGGGGCAAGGGACGAAGGGGAGGAGCAACACCTTGGCCAGGTAGTTGATGGTGACGGTGAGGAATAAAACCATGGTGCTGTGGAGAAGCAGTTTGCCCAGACGAACCAGCAGACTTCCTGTCTTCAGACCAGACTGCATGAGCAGACAGCAGGAAGAGATACAGTATGTCAGTACATCTGTTCTACTGCAAAGCACTTTTACATTAAGAAACATGAGGAAAGCAGACACACAGTGGACATACATCATCCCTTGCACACACACTGTTCGGTACATGCATCTCTCTTAGTCTTGACATGGCGTAACAAATTTGGCATTTGAGTATTTTCAGATGATAAAATAGTAATAAGCCAGTTTATACAATTTAACACCGAGGTGGGACAAAGTAAGTGTTTTACAAGCAAGTCTCAAGTCTTTGCTGTGATGTCTGAAGACAAGCTCAACAAGTCCTAAGTCAAACTCCTAAACTTTCAGGTTCTTAGCAAGTCTTATGCCAGTTAGTTTAGCACATTTACAGTATTAATTAACGCTTTTCAAAATGTGTATTTATTACTGAAATCAAAATCAAAATGATCAGGTGTACCTTGGTATGTTAATCTAGTAACTCGGGTTGGGGTTTCACAGGAGATGAATGTCAAATGGTGTTTGGCATATGATAAAAGATTTTTGGCCAAGTATCTGTACTTACTGTATTTGTAAGTGATGTGTGCACCAGCTCGCACAATAGCACGACAGCAATCAAGAGTTCCGTTTTGCTCATTAATATTCAGCAGCTACAAGTTGATGTTGAATATTTTTCCTCTTGCCTGGGCAACGTGATTGGCTACTGTGGGACTGATTCAAAGTTCCATTTGGTGTCAGTAATATGAAGAGTTGATATGCTGCACACTTTTTCATAACATGCATGTTAATATTTGGGCTTGTGATGAACTAGTCAAGTCATTCCATGTCAAAGGCTCAAGTCCACGTGAAGTTACAAGTTATTGGATGTTAAAGTCCAAGTTGAGTTGCAAGTTCAGTCTAAAGTCATTAAATTTACAATTCAAGTCTGACTTCCAAGTCCAAGTCCAAGTCATGTGACTCGAGTCCACAACTCTAAAACATATTAGGATAGTGTATACATGGAAATAATCAACCGTTTCACAATTACAGCACGTAGTTACTATACCCAAATTATTTTGAACCAGAAATGAAATCTTTCTCTCCCCATTTCTTATTGCCAACCTTCCTTCATCTTTCTCTCTATCATGTTTTCACCCTGTACCATTAAATGTTTCTTTAGTTTTTACTCCTATAAGATCAGATTTAACTACATTTAGAGAAACAGAAACATGTCTCCAGCAGACAAATTGATATTATCTTCTGCAAAACCTGACAGCAGCACAAGCCTCTTTGCATCATTGCAGGTTAATCTTCCATCTGTGCTTTGTAAACAACATACACACACACTAACCTGGCAGTGTCTGATAAAGAGTGCAGCTACGATGAAACTAAGGACGAGCGATCCCAGTATCATGGAGTTACAGAACTGGAGGAGCCACACACTCAGCAGGCCACTCACTTGAACAAGGTACAGAGTTGTCACCTGTAGAGACACACACATTGTGGTGTGAAACAATCTGAGCAGTTAAAGTGTGTGATATCAAATTTAATCGATTGCTTGCCTGATATCAGGCAGTACCCCTCATGCCGCATGACTGCAGATGCCATCAAGGAAAGAGTACGTTTCCATTGGTGTATAAAAATACTACAATATCACAGTTAGTAAAAACAGAAACAGTTCTTCTTCAAGTAAGAAAAAGTTGTAACAGAAAGCTGAGGCTACAGGACTAAAGTGACTGTCCTCAGTCTGAGTTTTGACAGTCTGGTAACGATAGCAACCTAGGATAACTACCTTCCACTTTCTGTCTTGCTTCCATTCTACTTTCTACTCTTAACAATCTTAAAAGCACACTGTGTTTTTTTCTAGGGCAAAAAATATGGTAATTGGTCTTATACCTGTATAGCGCCTTTTTATCCTTTACAGCACACTCAAAGCTCTTTCACGCTACTTGGTCATTCACCCAATCATACTCCCAAACGCTCACACATTCACACACCAGTGACATCGCCGGGAGCAACTGGGGGTTCAGTGTCTTGCTCAAGGACACCTCGACATGTTGACTGGACAAGCCAGGAATCGAACCGCTAATCCTTCAGTAAACAACTCGCTCTACTTCCTGAGCCACAGCCGCCCCCAAAAAAAGTGTGTATACAGTATGACATGCTAGAGTCACTAGTGCACAGCACATCTCCCAAAACAGAAGAAAAACACTCCCAGCTGCCTCTCTTGAGGTTCAGGTGCTGTTTCTACATGCCCTAAACCAGTTTTATTTGAAAAATGAACAACACATATACAATAGCTGCAAATTAAGTTCCATTCACCTCCACTTTACTGGTCATACCTGTGTAGTTGTTAAGAGGTCAAAACAGTCCATGGTGTATATGATGAGAGCTTGAACAAGTAAGATGAATTGGTTGAACTGCCACGTCAGACAGAAACAAAACGTTGTCACATAGATCAGCCACACCAGCACCTTCTACAGAAGGAAACGCAGACAAACACACTGGTGTTAAATTCTTCAACTCATTCTTTCTTCAAGTCATTTCTTTCTTTTAAGGATTTTGAGATTGCAACTCATGCTTTTATAACCTCTAGACTTGACTATTGTAATGCATTATACCTCAGTGTTAATCTGTTGTCTCTAACTCATCTTCAAATGGTCCAAAATGCTGCAGCTCATCTTTTAACAGGTACTAGGAAATTTG